AAAATACTATGTATACATCGATGAACTCTTTTATACAACCCAAGGTAAATCATTCGAAATGCTGAAGAGGATCAGAACGTTAAAGTTTATAATACGAAAGAAGGCTGAAAAAAATAATTTTTTCGAGCTTAGAAAAAAACATTAACAACTGTTTTACACTTACGAAATATAGACAATAAATAAAAACTGAGAATTAATAGGCGACATATATGTACTAAACTTGAGCCTTAAAATTTAAAATATAATATGGAAATATAAAAAAATAGGAACTGGTTACTATAAAATTTGGTAAGTTTTCATTGGCACATAATATCTACATAAACACTCAAGATATATGAACGACAGCCATATTATTATGTTACTCGTAGGCAAACGCTCATTATAGGTAGGTACCAAAAGATATTCTATAATGCTTAATATTTCGATAAACATTGAAACCTTTAAATGAAAAAAAAAATAAAGATATTTTGATTCATATTATATAATAATAATAATTTCCTAATAAATATAAATTGATTTATTTTGTTTTTTTTAGTCGTTCAATGAAATTTTCCACATATTTATTGTTAACCGTTATGTATTATTTATTGATATCCTATATTTTTTTGATATGCGTTATGTTTGTTTTGGGGTATTTGAATTTTTTAATTTATCGTTATTCATTTGATTACATTTATAAATTAAAATCGTTAGTTGTCATGTACGAGTTTAACGTTATTACAATGTTGATAATTCCAGTGTTATACCGTTTATCTATTATATTTGATGCTTTGAAAAAATATTTTAACTTATAAACATAGAAATACTTCATTCAATCAATCACAGCATATTATTTTCCGTGTATGTAATTAAATATTAACTGGTTAATAGTTACGTCGTTCTAGCGTTTTAAATTATAACTTTTTATAAATTTTAAGTTATAAGATTATGGAATGAGATTAAGTTTTTTCATTATTAGAAGAAGTATATAACTGAGAAAAAACAGTTTTATATAATTTTAATGTCAATTTTTGAGTTAGGTAATTTGTAAAGAAATAATTTGATCATTAATTGACTTAAATAACTTTAAACAAAATAAATCAGTTAATTTCAAGTCACAATATGTTGGTGATATTTCTGAAATAACAAAGCAAAATTATAAATATTTATGAAGTTATTGAATCTTGGAGTTAAATAATTAGATTGTTTTTATAACATATTCGTCTTCGTACTAACGGGAGTACTATTTAAGTATACTATTACAGTTTATGTATTTTTACTGTACAGTGATTGTACTTCATGGTTTATTTAAATACTTATATATTGTGTATTTGTTTCATTTTTATTCATAAATATGGGAAAACACACTACACAAATTGTTAATCGAAACCAGCAATAACTTTCAATTTCAAATCGAACTCGATTTAAAAAGGATTCTGCTGTTACTGTCTCAATAAATCATTGATTTATTATTTTACCAACCAAAAAAACTCTTTCAAATTTAAAGTATTACTAAGCAGATATAAGTTCAATTCACTAATCCTAATTAAGGAAAATATTTCCGTTCAGAATATACTTTTAAGTGATGGTAAGTGATAATTTGTGTAGATTGATTTATAAGTAACTTAGATAATAAGGCTTGTGTCCGTAACTTCAAAACTGTTTGTACTATGGTAGTAATTTCTCGAGTTGAAATTCCGTACAGTCCACTAACGTCCTCTAACGCATTTTCTGTACGATGACACTTTAAATAAATGTTGGGTTTTTCAAGAATTTGAACATCAGATAAAATTGAAGATAAAAGAAAAAAAATCGAATTCCATCAAGTGTTTCGACGGGCTATGATATTAAAACATTAGGACAAACAAGGTAACTAATAGTAAGTACATTTATTCAAAACTAAATTTTAGTATTTCAAGTTTTTTCAAGTTTTTATCGGAATAAACTGTTCTCAGTGAGGCTACTATTAAAACTTCTCGGTTATATAAACATGTTATCATGTATTGTAGTTCATAAAAAGTTTATAAATATATATATATATACTTCTTATATACATTACCTGCCGACTTTAAGTAAGTTTTATTTTTTTTTTTTTATGACTGTCACGCTATTGAAATATTCCGACTAAGATGACACACATGATTCACGAAAATAAAGTAATTTACTTAACGTTTATTCTTTACAACGATATTCTGCCATTCTGTCAGATTTATCCGCTATAGTATATAGTAATGTCAGTACATTGAATTGATCAATTTATGCATGTATCAAAATCCTTATTCGAAATAAATTGTTCTTTATGCGAAATAGATTTTAACCTAACCTAGCATTATTAAAAAATATGTTAGTCCACTAAATAATTATTTCTGTTTCAATTTCACTGATTGTAACTTTCTAATAAATCGTTTTTCCTATGTTTTATGTTTCATGTTATGATTTAAAAAACAATAATTCTTTCAAATAATTCAAAATTGAATACTCTAAAATTTGAATTAATCGACATCATTATTCGATATCAGTCAAAAATAGAAACAATTAATCCATAATTATATTTGTCCTTTCAGATGTCCATGTTCTCCTAATTTGCTTACGCTTTGAATCCATTGAAAGCACTTTAGAATATATGTTCACATTGTCACTGTTGTAAACATTCCAATTTCGTTTCACTTATAAAGTACTGGCGTTTAAACAATCAGGAATTATTTTTATATTTCAATATATTATTAATCCATCAAGGAAATATTATTTTAAATATATTTAAATATTATTGAAAACATTAAGTCAAACATTTATCACACTGTTATTAATGTTTTTTAATATTTTATATTTAAAAAGACAAAACTTGGTTTGTTATTAGTATATCATGATACTATTTTAACCATATAGAAAATACTACCTCGGGTAGTAATTTGATATTTTTTTAGTGAACTTAAATTAGAACAGAACAATAGACATTTGAACGTACGTAACTATACACTTTTCTTATCATATTTACTCACTGAGCATTTTTTTTTTTTAATATTCTCGTATTACACAATTGTTGAGAAAAAATACTTTTTTAAATAATAGTAGATATTTTACAAAATAATAATAGTAAAAAAATATAATAATATTATGTATTATTTGCTAAATTATTTTAAGTTTAGTCTTAAATAATTTAATGCTTATTTTGATATAAAATCATATGTTTATTCAAACGTGTGTGTGATATTTACGATTTAAGTTCAAAATATTCACTAAATCAGAAGTACAAAATTATTATAAGCGATGGATTTATTTTAACAACTTTATATGTGTACTTATAGTATAAACACATTTTTATTATTAAAATAATATTAAAAAATATTTAATAATGATAATTTTCAGAAATTATAATTTATTCAGAAAACACTTTGAAATAAATTTTTATTGTTTTATCATAAATAAATTGCAAATGTATAAGTTAAACACCTATAGGTTACTAATAGAATCGAGTCATTAACTTTTATTGGTAATTGATGTTTCGCATTGTATATTAATGTATTATAATTATATGACATGTATATAAGTGTAAGTTAACTCGCGTATATTTTGTGAAATAACAGTTGAAGATTTTTTTTTTTTTTTTAATTGACAGAATTATAAACAAATATATAAACCTATATATACTTTAATGTGTGGATTTTAACTTTTTTTCTACGAACCCTTTAAATATGTATACTCTTATATTTTTTTGATTACAGGTCTCTAATTGATATATTGTTCGCCCAATCAATAATTAACAAACGTTTTTCAATTTCCTCATTTAGGAACTGAACGAAATAGTTTTATATTCTGCAATGGCTGAAACTATTATAGATAAATGAGCTGACCTATAGGTGGTAAATCGTGTTATTGAAGTATGTGGTATATAAACAAGCAGATTTATATGTTTAAATATTGAAAGGAAAAAAAAATGTTAAATATTAACGGATATAAAATACAGCGATTAAAATTATTATTCAATGAACACGTGCGATATAACGTGACCAAGGGATTTTTATTGATTCAGTTATAATTCAAAAAATATTTTTACGTCTCAAATTAACTATAATTTTATTATTATTTCCATTTTGTAATTATAATGTTTTTACCATCTAAAAATAAATCTATAATCCTCAAGCATGTATATTATTAGGATTAATAAGAATGTAATAATTATAAAAAAAATTCGCATTATTTTTAAAAACTATTTTTTACAAGATTTGATTTAAAAAAAATGTTCAAACAACGTTTCGGTTTTCTGAAAATGTTAAACCATTCCCAAGTCGTATGTATGTTTATGAATCAACTATAATAACGATATAAGGGCTTTATTTTTCTGATTAATTAAAATCATTGACATGAAACAGAATCCCGTTACGTCGTTTATATGAAGATCGTGTATTTTGAATATCTCATGTAATACCTGTTGCAATCACAATCCAATGCTACACCCCATAGAGTAAAGAATGTATAGAGGGGCCATACCGTATACTGCTATGTGTAGTGAATCGAAGCAAACAAAAGGAAAACGTTTAGAGTTACCATTTTGAGAAAAATAAAATTATTCTGACATTTGGTTGGCACTAGTGCACTACTTTAAGTTTTCATATTATCAATTAGTATTATCACCTAAATTATAAAATATTGAATGATGATAAATTAATATTAAAATTATTCACTAATTCACTTGTTCAGTATTTTTGACATTTCTGTGTTTGTTTTTATGTTGTGGGCATTTAATAGAGTAATGAATGTCAATAATTATTAATTGTACACCTTATAATATTTTTTAAGCTAATTTTTCAATCTTACTTTGCCCATATATTCAACAGGTAATAATCATTATCATGATTTATATGAATTCTAAATTATCATGCTTGTTGTTGAAGAGAGCTGTGAAGGTGCTATAATAAATACAAATATGTACAAATATTTTACAGCAGAGCATTTTTCTTATTATTGTATAATATATAATAATTATAAAAGAAACAAAAACATAAATTATTTAATGGGTGCATAAAATCATTACTTTCTTGCCTTGTGTCTGAGGTTTTTTGAGCCATAGTACAGTTATTGACCTTTAAACAAAGTTAATTTATTATAAAATGAACGTCATGAAACTGTCTAATTTTTTTTCTTACACATATATTTAATTTTTATATTATAAAATGTTGAAATTACAGATTTTACTAAGAAAATTACATGGTTTGTTAAAGGACCATTTTCTATATTATGATAGTTAATTGAAGAAAAAATGTTTTTATTATTTATGAAGCTGGCTAAAATTTTGCTTTAAATTAATAAAGGATTTAAAGGCTGGTTATCATGCATATAAGTTTTAATAAATTTATTAGTAATCAAGCATATTTCTATTACATCTGCAGAATGATATGTTAAGCCACCCATGTCTTTTAAAGTAACTAATGAATTTATAAAAATTGTTTTAGTTCCTATCAATGCTTGAGCACAAATATCACATTTTAATTGGGTGAACAGTTTATGCGACACAAACCCAGCTATATAAATTGTAACCTCTTTAGAAACAGAGTTTAAATTAATATGAGTTACATCTTTTTCCACAGTATATGATTCTGCTCTAATTCAATGTCTTTGTAAAGAGTGCCATTAGAACTATTAATTGCTTGAACTGGATTTGACGAGACACTTGAACAGATTAAAATTGGAATATCTTGAAGAGATATTAAGTTACCCAGACCACTATCTTTGATTTGTGCATTCACCAGTAACTTTTTATAAGCGGATTTAAATTTTCGAGCAGTTGGATTGTTATTGTTACCCCCTTGCGTCCTAACACTGCCATAAAACATTTCCAGGTGATCTTGACTAAGTTTATAAAATGGTAAATATTTTAATTTATCTGTGTTAATTAAACTTTTTTTTAGATTGATCAATGAATTAAAACTAATTAAAAACCCTAAAAACCCGGTTGATCGCTGGGACTCTAAAATCGGTTGTCCTGTAATTAATTTTAATTTATTTAAATACAAATAAAACTTTTGAATAAATGAAAAAATATAAGAATAATTAGAATCATTAATTGCACCTTTAAAACCGTAAGTACACTGAGATCTCGAATTTAAAATATCAAACGCACCATTATACATTTGAATAAAATGTATAGTTGCCAGTGCAATCCTTAAAATCATCTAATTTCAAGAAATCTTTGCAAAAAGTTAAAGCTTTTGCAATTGATGAAGAAAGTAACTATGTTGCCAACTTTACCTTCATCTTATTTTTAAAGTAAAAAACATGCTCTTTTTTAAGTTTGTTGGCTAAATGCCCTTTCTCATTTTCTTGCAGCATTAATAAAAGTTGAATATACTTAAAATCAATTATGCCATTGTTGCAATAAATTAATTGCCTTTTCTCTCTAAAAGTATTGCGAACAAGCTTCACCATGAGTGCTGGGTCAAAGATGATATTGACATTGAAATCATTAAATGCATTAAAATCAGATTTTATTAGTTGAGGTGTAGATGCTAATTTACAGCCTAATGCTTTGGCCATGCTAACATTCACTGCACATCCATCAAATGTAAGACTTACTATGGTAATCTCAGTTTCAGTTAAAACATTTAAGCAGCGGCGCACTAAGTTTTTTTTCTGTTCACTATTTAAATGGTTACAGAAGAAATACCCAACTGGCAATTTTCATGAAGCATTTATGGCCGTTACCATGAAAACAAAGCATTCAGTTGCTTCACTCTTAGCATCACTATCAATTTCAAGCCCATAGTCACACAAATCCATGATACTTGTGTCCATAAAACTCAAGACATTTGCGAATTGCTATTTCATCCATACTTAAAGCACAATATATTGGGTATGGAGAATTTTTGCAAGCTAGCGTTAAGGTGTTCAGTGCTTCTTTCGTAAAGCCAGGTTCAGCATCTACATTAGCATACCACTTACTTAGCATGCAAGGGCTTGGAAGGACAGAATTAAATTCTCTACGAACAAATGTGTTCGCCTTGGGAGAATAAAAATTTAGAGTGACAGCAAATTTACGTAGCTGCATGCTGTAGCGTTTTGGCAATTTCTTTCCTGTATTTTTGTTCATAACATTATTGATTAAATCTGTATTCTTACCGAAATTTGAATCTAATAAATTTGCCTGCTCTTGGTTAATCAATAACTTGGCCTTTATTGTATTGATAACATCTAAAAATAGGATGGTATAAAAAAAAGTCTCGTGGGGGGGGGGGAATCCCTAAAAAAAGTCTCTAAGAAAAAAATCCCCCACTAAAATAAGTAAAAATTGGAATATTTTAAATAAAATATAAGCAAAAAAATAAAAATAAAATTTGTATTACTTAAACTTAATATTTTAAGCTATAGCTTTTAAAAAATTGTTAAGTTCTATTTTATTATCTCTAAACCATGTGCATAATATATCATACAGAATGATTGTATAAGTTTTATTTAAAATATTCCAATTTGTACTTTTTTCCCAGATACTTTTTTTCTTAGAGACTTTTTTTCAGGGACTTTTTTTCTGTTCCCCTTAAACAGTATAACATTAATAATATATAATATTTCTATCATTTTTAATTACTTTTCAAAGAAACAATTGTTTTTGTATGTTTTCTTAAACGTTGATTAAGTATCTTCAATTTTTTATCCTTAGCATTACATATATCAACTAGTGATGACACAGAACGTTTCAAAAATGTTCTTCTAGGTTTATCATGACTTTCTAAAATTGACGCTTGAACCATAACATTTACCGACTGTGACTGCAGTAACTAAAATAATTAATTTATAAAATTTTTTCTTTCAGTCTTAATAACTAAAAAAAAATGTATTTCATTACTTCTTCAAATGGTCTTTTTAGACTAAAACTATCTGATGTTAAACTCTGTTTATCACAAGGTAGGTCAGGATGTTTTCCAAAACCTTTCAATTCAATCTCTTCTAGCTACATATATAATTATAATAACAACACCTTTTATGTATTATACATATGTTTAAGTAAATAATATTTTATACTTACACAAGTAAATGTTGATGTATTGGATAAAGACACTTTCACCTGAGGAACAGTAATTTTAGCCTAAACAGTAAAAAGTTAATAAATAAACAATCATAATAATTTTAAACTATAATTGATAGGCATGAATGTAATTTTGTAGAGCATAATTTTGATAAATAGTATTATTGAGTTCACATACATATTTTAAACGTTTTACCACGATAGAAGGTACGGCATCTTCTTTTAAAAGTTTGCTTCTAACATAATTTTTGAAGCAGTCTGAAATGAAATGTTCAGAGCATATGGAGGTAGAAGGCTTAATTTTGATGGTATCAGCATCACAATCTTGAAAAAATTGGATCCACTGATTTTTACGTGGTTCATCTGCTGGTAGTCTAATATAAATTACAAAAATTAAACTATTAAAATGTTCAACGTGTACCAAAAAAAATGTTTATAAGTGTTACTTACCGATGAAAGCTAACATCAGTTTTTTTCACAGACCAAAAACGTTTACACAAAAAACAACTTGGCATTGTCTTAGAGATGTAGACCATTAAGCACAAAATAAAAGTAATAATGAAAAACTTTACTTATAGTAATGAAATACAGTAATATAAGTATGTTTACTTTACGTATTAAACATTTAGCAGACGAAAATTCCAATTTCGAAATTTGAGACTTTGAATTTGGAGCCAATATGCAACGATAATAATAATAACATTAAAAAAATAATTTAAAATCTGATAACCATGTCTTATCAGTGATTAGGTTGAGTAAGGGATACAATAATTTGGTACAATAGTTTAATGCTTTTCAATTGGACACTCTAAACGTTCTCCATCTAAATGCTTCACTTACGTATACGTATGGCCACCCCGTGCTACACCCTGAAAAATTCATTATTGTATGATTTATTATAGTCTAAAAATAAATTGTTGAATGTAGCGATAAAATAATTATTTTTTAAAAATTCAAATTACTGTATTTAATAATATGATAATAATTTTGTTTACTTATAAAAACTTCAATGGTTGAATCAGATAAATTCACCGTGATTCTATTTCTACCGGCCAAGACAATTAATTTATGACAAAAACATTAACCATAGACATGGGACATTAAAACTTATTTATTCAATACATGAATCAATAGGGTTATTCTGTTTTCATGTTTTACTTTTTTTTTAATTCGAGAACATTCAATGAGACCGGAGGTATTGTGTTCATACATTACACAAATTTTAGTCGAGTTCCTACGAAATACATTATAATTTAATAACTAGAAAGTCATAAATTCAATTTATGACAATGATTTTTACCTCAACCAAAATTAACTAATATTCATTACCTTTGTACGTTTTAAAGAATTTCAATAAAACGAAACAATTGCGTAAATTGATTATGTCAATAAATTTTACGTTAAATACAATCGAACTAAACCGTTCCATCGTAGATTTATAAATTAATATGAATACAATTACACACACACACGCATTCATACATTATATGCAATACATACGTAAGCACATCTAAAAATTACAATAGGTGGAGAGAGGAAATTGAATGTGTCTAGTAGCTAGATAATAGTTTTTATTTGATTTGGGAGGTATTATGGAATTTATTGGTTTTACAACTGTTTTCTTATTATATTATAATCAATTTATTTCGGTAATACGAAGTTTTCAAAAGCTACGTGTACATAATGTGACAAAACTTTAATTTATTTGATACTATTCAGTTGGATTTTTCTAATCTAATAACAGTTTAATCAATTAACTATTAAAAAATTATAAAAAATGTTTCAATATACTTATTTTACAAAACTAATTTGATTATTTTGTTTCTATTCAAATAAAAATTGACATAGTTTAAAATATAAAAATATAGAAAAATGTATAACATTTGCTTTTCAAATTAACCATTCCCTGTAGTATTTAAAATATAAAAATTTTAAATGGAGTTTACTCTAAGTTAATTTATTTTGATAGGAACACAAAAAAATATAGTAAACAAATTTTAGAATATCATTGTGACTGTTTAACAGTTAAACATGTTTTAAACAATTATTGTTTATCTATGGAGTTTATAATTTGCTATGTTAAAACACAAATATTGCTTTTGTTTGAGTTTAATTAAATGAAAACGTAAGAAAAAAAAGTGTTTTTAGCATGAACAACTTTATTGTGTTTATCAAATAAATACATAACTGATCATTAAACTTATTTTGTACTGAAACGTCGAAAGTAACTACATTTTTATAATTATTAAATTCCAATAATACGTTTTGAAATCTTATAGTTTATTGATTTCTTAAATAATATTTAAAAATATGAAAAAAATTAATCCACTGACGACTTCAATAACAATCAAAATTATTAATTATCTTGTAACCGAGGAAAAAAAAACTTCCACAAAAAAAAGCCAACAAAGAACTTATTTTTGGTTTTTATAACGATCTTAATGACCTGCAATTAGTTATTTCCACTGTGAACATAGGTTTCGTATTTCTAAATTTTTAATTTTGATATTTTAGTCTAGTAGAGAATAGTTGGTTCAACATTAAGTAAATGAGTCATAACTGACCAAATATTGGATTAACATCGATCACTATGCGATTCGTCTTGTGCCACGACTGATAAAACCTAATATACAACAATCATACATTGCCAATGTTCATTCAAATTACGGTATGCGAAAGTATATAAAGATCTCATCATAAATAACGGACGTTCAAGGTTTTCCTTTGTATTTTCGTAAAACGTTTGTACAAACTACAACCACTAATATTCGACTCCAGAACGTTGGCGATGGTATTAGATGGGATCTATAGCGTTATCTTGCAGTCGATGCGAAATTAAATCGTATAAAAAAGATGCCCTCTTTTAACCCACGAGATAGGTATGAAATCAAGAGTGAAATATAAGCTGTAGCAGCCCAGTGAACACGTGTTGGGTTTCAGTCAGTGCGTAAGACCGTTTTGTTCAAATCCCGTATAGTTTCAAATTTATTTACCCTATGGACACCCCTACGCAATCATTGGAGGGCCATACATGTGTACATTCTTCATTCGTGATCAGTAAAAAAGGATTTAAATGTTTTAAAAACAAGAGAAATTCCTTAAAAAAAAAAAAAAAAACTATTTAAAACATATACCACAACATTTTTTAATTATAAATACACTAAAAAAGTGAAATTTTAATTATTTCTGATATTAAAAAATTTGTTTTTTATTTATAAATATTTTATTCTAGTATATTATTCATATTATTGTGTTATTAATCCTCTCCTATATTCATTTTATTCTCCATTTATTTCCATAAATTTAATATACAATTTAAATAGATGCATCCATTACCTTTAGTTTCATATGAATCCAATAAATGAATGAATAAATAATTTTGACTATATTTTCATCAAATTTTATCAATTTTAAAATAAATAAAAATTAATTAAAAATATTAAAATTCAATAAAACTGTCTAAAAATGCTCATGCAAAAAAGTATAATAGAATTATGTGTTAATAAATAACATTGTTTTTAGGTATATTATTATAAAGTCACAGAGAATTTCAACTATAATACCTTATATTATACTAAAATTGAGTGAAATTAAATATTTCTGTCGAATCAAAATACAAAAGATTAATTATAAAAGGTAATATTTAATATTTGTATTTGCCTATTTAGTAATTTATTTCCAATGTAAAATAAAAAAATGAAATGACGGCGTTCTGTATAGGCAAAAATGGTACATTACTGTAATCGGAAAAGTTGCATAGTATTTTTCAACTACTATTTGATATAAAAATGAATCATCTATTTTCGAGTGGGGAGACATAATTCTTGTATAAGTATAGAGTTTTAAGTCTACCAAGTATTGTAAGTTTAACTGCCATATTTCTTTTGAGACTTCAATTTCCCAAGAGTAAAAATGTTTCATTTTAGTTCAATTAATTATAATGAGAATTTGTAAAATTAATTGTTTACATTTAACTCTAAGAACTTTATGTTATTTAAACGATTGTTCCGATTTTTAATTATTAAATGCTTGAACTCGATGTTACGAAAATAAAAAGTCATCATAATTATTATAATATTATAGGATAAATGTACAATAAGATACTCTCTGTGAGTTATGTACATTAAATTTCGATCAACCCAGACAAACTTAATTCGCATCAAAAGCGTAAAAAGTGAAAGTTAGTATTAGATTTTTCGATTCTACCCATTTATTGGAGTCAGTGAAGTGAAATTTTTTTCATAGGTAACTTAATGAAAAAGCAATATGCGTGAATCAATGGATATACATAGAACAAAAAATTGATTAAGTTAAGAAATATCACTTAATTATGGACGAAATAAATATTTTAAGAAACCTTACGTAGGCCAATTTTCAATGAAAAACTATAAGCTATAATATAGGCTTTATAATCTCTAAAGAATAAAATCAGAGTTTCAAACTTTTTTAGGAAAACTTTTACACTAGGATTAATCCAATAAGAATTGCTCTATCTAAGAGAGCATTTGTAACTAGGTTGTATTATAATTTTAAATTTATGAATGAATTACGTCATAAAAAAAAAAAAAAAACAATGTAAATGGACTTCGGCAAATTTCAACCAAATAGTGTTTAATTGTCATTTTTAATTTTTTTAAATAATAAAATGCATTACAAAAAATAAAATTAATTTTAAAATATTTAAAATTAGTAAACTATTAAATAAATCATTTTCATGAATATAGGAAGCCGAATTTTAAAACTGAATATTCTTGGAATTTTTAATTTATGGTTTACAATACTAAACTATTTATCAAACTAAATTAAATTATGATTTACGACAATATTAACACAAAATATCTACTGTTAATATTTATTACTTAAACAATTATCTACTGCATTTACTCAAGAAACTACGATGGAACAATATCACTCTTCTCATTGTGATCCAAACCTGGGCATTATCGAATTAATAAGTTAAAAGTTAAGTTAATTTAACTTATAAACCTTACTTATATTTTTTTTCGCTTTTGAATCATGATCGGGGTGGGAACCGCTTTCGCATTACTTCCACTCCGACCACATCTTTTATTATGAAACTTGACACAAAAAAACATAATATATCATCAATTAACACGTCATTCAGGGGCCTCTAACCCACGTGATGTGGCCTTCGGTATACAAGAATTGAACTTAACTAATATTTGCTCATCTGTAGGCTTAGATTTATCATTTATCTCGATTTAATTGCACAGAAAACAATTGGGAGGCTCTTTACAGTCCTTTGATAGATAACTAAATCCTCCACAAATCATGCAGTTCATACTCCGATCCTTCAGCTTGCATCCTGTCGCCCTGATGGCCGTAAACATGGCATAGGAAGCACCTGATGATTTTCGGCAGTTGAAATCTAACTTTACAGTATACACGGCTGATTCTAATCCTGTCTTCCTGTCCTTCTTCGCTATCTTTGTCACCATATGCTCCGGTAGTAATACTGTAGCAATCTGGTTTCCACTCCAATTTGGTCTCATCC